ACACACTAGGTTTTCCACGATGAATTTATATGTATTCGTAAAATTACTAATGTCCGATGAGAATCCACTGAAGTTAAATGATTTGTAACGTGTAAATGATTTATAAATATTCCTGGTCAGTTATGTTAAGTTTTTCCGATTGATAAGTGTTATAACAGTTACGGTTATAGCTTTCGAGGTTTTATATCACACCGATATATAGCAAACTAATAATAGACACACTCCTTGGCGCGTCGCATTGGTTATATTTATAGCTGTGGGAAGGTTTCCTAGGAAATTCAGTCTTACGTAACAATACTGGTTTACGTATATAGATGTATATCGTTGATTCTTACTCTTGAGAATTTTCTACAACTTTGGAGAATAGGCGGGAGTTTCGCAATACCGATCTAACAGTATATGCTATGTATGTTTCTAAATATAAACTTAATTTAAACAACGTTCATATTAAAATAAATACATAACAACAAATTCGTTGCAGTTACCAATAAAACTTGTGTGTACTGGCTTGGCCAGGAATTAGAAGAGGAGATCAGCGGGTCAGAGGAAGATCCAACCTTCGTTTTAACCCACTATAACACTGAGGATGGAGTAGAATGAGCTGAAAGTACCCATCTAGTTGTTCATAACGAGTACTTGAATACTTTGGTTTATAATTAACATGGTAATATTAAAGTAGGAGTATATCATAAACTAACTTCTTCAGGTACTTATACCAATATCAGAAGTTTTGTTACTCAGGCGAAATTTATTCGAAGGTTGAAATGCAATGTATACTTACGTCTACTCTAAGATATATATATATATGTATATATATATTAATTTTAAAGGTGTGATACCTCAGAATAAAACATTGTTCGTTAGTAATAAATTTGCATATCCCGTTTGTGGGTTCTATCTGTAGACGGCTGTTGGCTAGTATAAACCAACATATTCTGGAAGAGTTGAAAATTTATCAAGCATTCTACGATATGTTTTAAGAAAATATAACATGGTTAATACTAATTAGAACTTTATTAAAGCTAAGGATGAACAGATTTCCAAACCGATAAAGTGGAACAGTTCAGCCCTTGCTCCTAATTTCAAAATGGTTATTACAAATTTGAAATAATTTACCTTTCATATAATTTACGTTAAATTTATTGAACTGTTAAACATTGGCGTTGTTTTTGAAATAATATCAACTACTTTGTTTCTGGTGATAGACATACATTCGTCAACTGCTATAATCTACTACAGACTTCCATAATTCATGCTGGAAAAGTTTTTCACGTGGATTTGTTCAGAAAAAAATCAAAACTCTTGTTTGTATCAAAAATTATTCAACATCAAATATGTTTCAGAGATTGTACTTACCAGTATAACTAATCACGCATCATACAGGTTTTGAAACGTACAACTGTATGACAACCCACGCGACATCTATTCATAATTACCCCTTGACGTTTCATAACCATAAGATGCAAAGTGTGCAACACACCAGATGTCCTCTACAATATCTTTGTTTGCATTTTTTTGTACATATCGAAGCTGGCATGTGTTCGTTTGTTTCCATGACGACTAGTTACGATTTATCAACTCTACGTAAGCAGCAGGGGATATAATTTTGAGTTTATGTTCCAATAATTATTGATAAAATAACGCTTAATTGCTTTACTCACCGATATAAATGAAACTGTTCAAAACTCCCAATGAATTATAAAAAAAACAAAAACACAATTAGTATGGACTGAATTACGTATGGTGATTATATTATGTTTCTTTCCAGTCTTTTTATGCTAGATCAGATGCACTAACAACCACTTAAAGTATCGAACATTGCATCAAGATTTTTCTTGTTCACCACTAGGTGTGGTCTGTACGAATAACGTACCTGATCAATTTGCGCACGGAAATAAAAATATTTCACATTATTTATGATGTTGACCACTCAGAACCAACGTGAATATAGTTTCATGTGTAATGATAGAATATTTATAGTCCACATTTAAAGTAGCGAGTTGACTTGGTTGTCAGGAAGACGTCTGAACAGGTGCTCATTAATTCTAGTACACTCGAAATCTTATAAGTAAAAACAAAACTAACGAAAAATTGAACAGTGGTGAAAATACAAAGAATATTAATGAAAGTAAAACAACTAACAGTGACAAACAATAAAGTTAATCCCTTCTTTTATTGAATAAATGGGTCCCGTGTTGTGCGATGGCTTTGTGCACTTCTCTACGACCAGTAATATTTGAGATTAACCGTGTTACCAAAGAAACTAACTCTCAAAAACCTATTTTAGTTATGCCAAGTTAACTTGTTCAGAGTGCAAAAACAGAGACGAATTAACAATTCTTAGGGTTCTGGGCACGAAAAATATTGGGGCCTCCAAATACAACCCTTCACAATTAAATCAGAAACTTATAGTAAAAATAGATGAAGAAATAAGACCGTATAATGTATAAAGAGTGCATTAATATTTTTTTGAATTTCGCGCAAAGCTACACGAGGGCTATCTGCGCTAGCCGTCCCTAATTTAGCAATGTAACACTAGAGAGAAGGCAGCTAGTCATCACCACCCACCGCCAACTCTTGGGTTACTCTTTTACTTACGAATAGTGGGATTGACAGTAACATTATAACGCTCCCACAGCTGAAAGAGCGAGCATGTTTGGCGGAATGGGGAGTCGAACCCGCGACCCTCAGATTGCGAGTCAAGCGCCTTAACCACCTGGCCATGGAATTTCTTAACTTTGTCACACAAAGAGAAGAACGAAAAATAATAATAACTGTTTGTTTTAAGGAAGATATGGATTATTAATAACACACTGGTTGCGAGTATATGTGTCCGATAGAAATCGCCAGCGTTTTTAGTACTAATTAACATTAAGTATGTAACTAAACATGAGATTATTTTTTGAGTTTCTCTATTTGGTAAATCACTGGTTCTTTTGCAGAAGTCCCATAGGTTAAAGAGCAACTACTTAAGTACGCACGTCACCACTTTTTTTCCATATACGTTTTATATAAAAGAGCCTCAAAAGCAGTCAGTTACAGTCATTTTACAAATCCTGATTTTTAACGTAATTACCTACGTTTTGATCATATATACAAGTAACCACAACAAACAGTTTTACCATGAACCACGCCCCCCAGTGGCACAGCGGTGTGTCTGCGCTAGAAACCGGGTTTCGATACCCGTGGTAGGAAGAGCACAGTTAGCCTATTGTTTAACTTTTTGCTTAACTACAAACAAACAAAATTTCATGTATACCAATTTTTCAGCAGTTATTGTATATCTGAACATCCGTAGTACAATAAGGAAAGCTATAAAGTAGATTTTCCTAAATCTACAAATGGTTTTCAGATATAAACAACACTTGACCTTTCCACTACTTCACGTGAGTTGTAATATGCAACTAATGTCCAAGAGAATGTGACACAGTTAAAATTAACAACGCCTATTTAATAAGTATCACATAAGCTACTTCAAAATACATGTATATCAAAGTCATCTAGACGTACGTTACATCCTACAGGTGTAATAGATAATTACATTAACACCTTTCTAAAGCATTATCCATTTCGTTCACATGTATGTGTTAAATGCTATACAGTGGTATTGGCAACACTCGTCTAAATGTATACAAACTACACAGTTTCTTGAGACAGTATATATATTGTTACGTCTCCGTTTGTTAATTAACTTTCCGTAACTTCGTTCC